GGTCCCGGGCCACGTGCTTGATGGCTACCTAGAACACAAACAGAACCAGACAGACAATCAGAATCAGGTCAGGCAACCCCAGAAAGAGGGGAGGCAAACAAGGGACCAATGGAAGGGATGCAAGATGGTGGTTATGCCAGGGCAAAGCAAAGGAGATGTAACTGGGTAAGGGATGCAAAGGTGGAGATCAATAGAGCAGCATGCATGGGGAGCGGGCTGCAGGGGTGGGGGTGGGGGTCACTGTCCAGGCTCTACTCACCGGGGCGCCGTCTGACAGGCGGGTGCCCGAGTAGACAGAACCAAAGCCACCACTGCCCAGCAGTGGGCCCACCTGGTAGAGCTTCTCCAGGGGCTCCTTGTCCTTCCCTGCAGGCAGAGAGGCACAGACACCGGGGTCAGAACCAGCTGTGTCCTCAAAAGACCCGGCCAACCCTCCAAACCACAGCAACCCCACATCCCTCCTCAGAACGACCTCCCTCCCCGAACTGAACCAGCCTCACATCCCTCCCCAGACCAAACTGGATCAGACCCCCCAGCCCTCCTCAGACCGAACCCCCCAAACCGGACCAGACCCACATCCCTCCCCCGAACCGAACCAGACTCCTCTCTGAACCTACCCCTCTCGAACCGAACCTCCCCAATGCCCAGCAGGACGAGGCTCCTCCCGAACTGAACCTGGACCACTCTGGGGCACCCTACTCCGGAGCCACCCCCTGCTGTCGATCCGAACCCAACCGGGCCTCACCTGGCTGTAGCTTGGCCGGGTGCAGCTCCCCGCCGGACCCAGAGCACAGGTGGGCCAGCGAGTTGATCTTGGAGAGCAGCATCCCCGCCCCGTCCCCTTGCTCCAGGGCCGGGACCGGGACCGGAACCGGCACCGCCCGAACCGAACCGGGCGCCAGTGGTTCGGCTCGCAGCCCCGCCGGGTCGGAACCAAGGGGGTGGGGTCCGGGCTAGTGCGGGAGGGGCGGAGGCCGAGGGGAAGGGGGGGACGCGAATGGGAGCAGAGCCGACGAGGCTGCTCCGCTCGGTGCCGGGCTCCCGTGTGGCACCGGCTCCCCTAGCTCCAGCCGCCAGTAGTAAGGGAGGGAGGGAGGGAGCCGGGGCAGGGGCGGGGCCGGGGACAGCCAGGGGCGGAGCTTCAGCGCGGTACCGCCCCGCCCACAAACGCGGTCGCAGCCAATCAGCCGCGGGGCCCGGCCTCCCCCTCCCGTCAGAAGAGGACGGGGAGACTAAAGACGTGGCGGGAAGGAAAAGGCGCCAAGAGGGGGGAGGGGTCGGGGGAAGGGGAGAATAAAGGCGCGGGGCGGGGGGATGGGGCAGAGACTGAGGGGGGGGAGAGGGAGGAGCAGCCTGAGGAAAAGTGAGGGAAGACAACAGGTGGAAGGGGCAGGGGGAGGCAGGGGCAGGGGGAAAGTTTGGGAGGGGTAAATGAGAAGGGAGGGTGGGAAGGGGGGAGGGTTTAACTACCCCCCCCCCCGTCCAAAAAAAGCCAGCAGAAAATACAAGCCAAAATAAACTAACACCCCCACCCCCGGCTGGGCCCCCTGGGATCAATGTGGTTACAAGCATCTTCCATCCTGAATGAGCCCAGAGCACTTGGATCTTTGTTTCCCTTCCCATCCTCTGTCTGTCTCTCTGTTTGGATTGTAAACTCGTCAGGGCAGGGACCTCCAGTAGGTTTCTGTACAGCGCCTAGCACAATGGGGCCCCCTAGACACTTCCATAATACACATCATAATCCAACCACACCCATGCAATCACCTCCGGGGTGGAGGATGGCGCATTCGCAGGAAAGACAAAGGAGGGGATTTGTGGTAACGCCCCTTTTCCTATCACTTGGGCCATGGGATCTTTAATGTCCACCCTGACCAGAAAAACGCTGGACTTTTCAGATCTCATCTCATGTAGATTGTAAACTAACTCAGTGGGATCTGATTCCGCCCTCACACCAGTTTGACACTGGCACAGTTCTAATTATTTCACTGGAGTTACTCTCTTGATTTACACTGGCATAAATGAGCTCAGACTCATACCCTTTATCTTGTGTGTGTGTGTGTGTGTGTGTGTGTGTGTAAGTAAAAGTACGGACC